CAGCGGTTTAGAAGATATTTTGATGACAGTCGTTGTTTACATTACCATTATTTGCTGAGATGCCCCTAACAACCTGCTGCAGTATATCTATCATCGTGTATACAGTCGTATGTAATTCTAATAAATACCAAAAGCGAAGCAATATCTGATTCAATTTTAATCGGGTCGGTAGATAGCGTAAGGGTTCAGGATGTTGGATAAATATTCGAACGCGCGGTCGGTACCTTTCTCATAAATTTCGATGAGAAACATCAGAGCGCTTAAACTATCGTCAAAACCTTTGGAAAGAGACGTATTCGTGAAAAATTCGGCTCGGGAGCTCGGTATCCTTGCATGTAAAAAAATTTCAGAACAAACTAAGCGTGTCGTGAACTCAAGGAAGCAAGGTGTGTTATGTTGATCAAACGGTTGTAATATTTCCGTAGCTCACTTGTCTTCATAAATCTACCGCTTTTATCTCTCTCTTATCGGCTGTTAATCATGTCTAACGCGGGTAAGTGTGTTTCACACAATGGAGACGTTTGTAATTTGATTTGACCGTTTCAGATAGAGTGCAGCACTTGAAGTCAATCTTACTTGCTGAATGGAGAGCGAGATCCGTAGTTAGTTCTGATGACTGGAAGGTACGTTGCGAGGTTTTTTTCAATCGCCGAGACCAACTCTTTTGAGAGAGCAACTAAAATAAGCTCAGATATGGGGCAAACCAAGACTCTGAAGATTCTATGTTATTGAGAATATAAAACAAAGATATGCATGTTGTTTATTGCAAATAGGACCCGAACTTAGTGTTCATTTCGTATTGCTGACTTCCAGAGAATTTAGTGTGATCACTTTTCATTACACAACGTTATGTAACAAGCAGTAAAAATATATTCAGTTGTGCATGTTACGTAGGTGAGGTTAAGTTAAGTAAGTTAGCGGTGGTGTATCTAGCGAAAAAGTTTTTTCATGTTCTTTTTTATAACGGTGTTCTTTGCCTTTAAAACACAACAAAAGAGCGTTAGGGATTTGTGTGCGCAACATCGAGAAAAATCGAACTTTCGGTTAAACCGATAATTTTCCTTTTACAGATGTATTTTGAAGGAATTCGCCGAGGAAGCGAGAAAGTTCCTATTCATGGATGGGAAAGCTGTGACTATGATATAGTTGTGAGTAAAGCGCTACACTACGTGGTTTCCTACGCTTATCTCGTGTTCCCCCAACCTCCCAAGTGTTTACATCAGGCTATGTAAACGCGGCAACCATTTTACATTTCTTCAATATATCAGCCATTTGTTACAAGAAATAAAATTTTCATTACAGGGCCTTATTATTGTTCTTATTCTGTTGAAAAAATCGTTGGAAACTCTAATTAAATCTAACATTTTAAAGTTCACTTTGGAAAAATTGACGGAAGAAAGCTCTAGTGCTCTAATTTGTATCAATAGTCTCTATGCTTATGAAATCACTCTGTAAGGCCAGGCTCTTCACAAGGGCCGATCAAATAGACTGTAGGGGCTTGCCACTGTAACCTGTAAACACAATAATCAGAACACTGTGATTAAACGACAAGGGAGAACAATAGAGTGCATGAATTGCGTTTGATTATTGAGATGGGAGCCAGCGATGAAGAATGAAATATGAAAACCATAAACTTCATGATGTGTGTTAAAGGAGCAAAGCACTAGATCGAACAACAAACAGGGTGACTGTTGTCAACTCGGCATTAAAAAGAATATTAAGGATCCTAACTAACAAATATGGATCAATATCAGTATACGGGCGACTGCCCATCTGCCCCTCCCACAAATATCACTGTAAAACATAAATTTCATTTAATTGGAGTAAAGTAATGAGCTGTACCTTGCACGGGTTGAAGGCTGACATAG